TCTCTCTCTGTCCCCCCCCCCCAAAAAAAATAAATAAACGTTAAAAAAAAAAAAACAAAAAACTGAGCACATGTATGTATTATCTTAAAAAAATTAAAGACAATTTTTTTTAAATGTTTATTTATTTCTGAGACAGAGAGAGACAGAGCATGAGTGGGGGAGGAGCAGAGAGAGAGGGAGACATAGAATCAGAAGCAGGTTCCTGGCTCTGAGCTGTCAGCACAGAGCCCGATGCGGGGCTCGAACTCACAAACCGTGAGATCATGACCTGAGCCAAAGCCGGTCGCTCAACCCACTGAGCCACCCAGGCATCCCTAAAAAAAAATTTTTTTTTTTAATTTGAAGAGGCGCTCGATGAGTAATGGTCATCAGGCAGAGGGAGGAAGATTCCTGGGGAGACCTGCTCAGTCATCTAAGCTCTGAGTGTCCCCAGTGACAGCACAATTTCTCCATCGGAGGTGACAAGGCCACAACAGTCTAGAAATGTCACCCACGCTGTGACTCCATCTCCATCACTTCTGGAGGCCTCGCCCTGTCTTGGCTGTCATACCTCCTACGTCCAGCAGGTGGAAGCACAGATCCACCAAAGCATTGGTTCCAAACTTCACCAAGCCTCCCTTCTAGGATTTCCTCCTCTGTGGACCACGATTGGAAAGATACTTCCTGCCAAGCCAACCAAATTTATTAGGTAATCATTGATTCAATGCTCTCCCTTTTTTTGTGCCTCACATTTCTGATCAGCACGCGCGAGACAGAATGTAGGCTTGCTGAGTTCATAATTTTCCACGTAAGAGGTTCTATGTAGCTTAGCCTTGTTTCCACCAGGCCTTGGGTGGCAGTGGTTGGCAATGGCCAGAGCATCCCCAGGAATGGAGGGCTTAGGCTGGCAACTACTTCATTGGAGGCTCCCCACCCTGCTCGGATTTTCAGTGGCAGCGCACAACTCCCATCCTTCTCTTACCTACCGGAAGAAGTAGTTCTGGGCAAGGGGAAGCATGAACACCTGCTACCAGTCTGCCTGATGGTAGCTACTCTCCCAGATGTGTTTGGAGTCTGTCCCTTGCTAGGCTGTGAGCAGTCTAATAATGGGGACTCTTTTCATCTGCCACTGAATCAACAGGAGTGAGCACAGTGCTGGGCACACAGCTAGTGTAAATTAAAGGTTTGTTGTTAAAAGGAAAGGGACAAGCATTGAGGGGATCAGGGACTAAATTCTTTAAAAAGAAAAAAAAAAAAGATGTCCTAGCTAACGTCAAGGGCAAGAACCCCAGGTCAGCTGAGGATAAGGGTAGTGGGCACAGAATGGATCACCTTGGTAGCAGGTTCCAGGAAAATCCTGCTTTGTCTTACCTGTGCGTCCCTGGCTGGGACATGAAATAAGTAACCACATCTCTCATCCACCAGACGTGCTGGTGACCTTGGCAGAAGAAGCACTTAAATCAGGTCATTCTGGGGGAAGGGGCTGTCTCATCCCAGGGCCTTCCTTAAAATTAGGTAAATTTCCCAGCTCCTGCTGAAATTTGTCAGTGGTTCTGCATGTGAAAGGGAAGGTAGAAGGAAGAGGAAGCTATAAGGGGAAGGGACACTTATGGCCTCTGGCCTGGCCTAGAGAAAATCCAGGCCTCATGTAGTGGGCCCTCCATCCTCAATGTTTTGGAAGTGCAGGGAGGGGCAGCTGGGGATCTCCATAGATTCGATGGGGAACAATAAGAGCAACTGAGGGAGAAGGGCCTCAAATACAGGTTGGAGATTGTGTCTCAGAGCTGGGGTTCTATAGTCCTCCCAATACTCACTCACCTTTCTGGCCCACCCTGGATGAGAGGGGCAGTGGGGGCTAGGGCAGCAGCTCCAAGGCAGTGTGGATTTTGAAGGTGGGCAGAGAGTAGGGCTGTTTCTGACCTTTATTAGTTGTGTGCCTTTGGGCAAGTCAACTAACCACTCTGAGTCTGTTTTCCCATCTCTAAATGAAGATGTCAATACCTACCTTCCCCAGTCACTGTAGGGATGAATGAAAGAAGACCTCTGGAAGCATTTCTGTAATTGCTAGACTTCAGGGATTGTTATTCACCAAGGTGAGAGGCCACCCTACGTCCCTGGAGGGGACAGCGTCAAGGAGATATTTTTTTTCTCCTCTGCGGAGCCTGCTCCTTTCTCAGCCTGGATGCTGGCTTTAATCCTCTGTTCCCCAACCCCTGCGCTTCTCCTTGAGACCGCCTTGGTGGTCCCCAGATTCCCGTACCTTGCCTTTTCCCATAGGCGCCCTCGTTATAAAACCCTGGGGATGTCGGTATGGGCGCAGAGTTGGTCCAGTGTGGGACAGGTCCGGGGGTCTTGGTTGGCCTGGATCTGCGCTCCTCGCCATGCTTGGGGGCTCTCATTTGCAGATGGTTCCCTCTGATCCTCAGCTCCTCTCTGGACCAAACAGATGAGGGGAGAAACAAGGAGTAGGGGGCCTGGAAGGGGGTTCCCACCTTCTCAGTCCAGAATCCGAGAGGGGGACCCAGCCCTTGCGCCCCAACGCCGCACCGTCATGGGTCTCCAAGCCGAGCACGCAGTTGCTGGCATCCTCGGCAAGGTTTGCCCCCTCCGACTCCCGGAGGTTTGCCCCTTCCGACTCCCAGGCCGTGACCCCCCTCACCCAGACCCCGCCGATCCCCGGCTCGGAGCAAGCGGGAGCATGCGGTTCTAGGACCCGGAGGCGCCGCCGCGCGCGCCGCCGCCTCTGCCTCGCCTCGGCCGCCTCCCGCTCCGGCAGGTGAAACGGCGCCCGCCGCCCCCTCTGCGGCAGGTGAAGCGGGTCGCCGGCCCCCTCCGCGCAGCGCCATGGCTGCGGCGGACCCCCGGCCGGCTCCCGGCGCCCGCCCCCTCCCTCCAGCCCGCCCCCCGGGGGCAGGGTGCGTAGCGGCGGCGGCGAAATGCGGTTTGCGCGCTCGGGGAGCGACAGCAGAAGTTAGAAAATCGCCGAGGGGGGAGCCCGCGCCGCAGCTTCCTGCCCCCGGCCCAGCCCTCTGTCCCCCGCGGCCTGCAGCCTGACTTCCTCCCCCCACCCCGCAGCTCGCCGCCCGGCTCCTCGGACGGGGCCGCCCCGATGGGACGCCGCGCCCCGGCCCTTGCGCGCAGCTGAGCCGAGCGCCGCGGAGCCGAGCCGCGCCGCCGCCGCCGCCAGCCTCTGCCCTGCTCGCCCCCCAGGACGGGAGCCTCGTCCCCGGTCCCCCGGAAAGCTGGATTTCCGAGGCTGGAGGCGCCTGGCCGACTGGGTGGGGACCACCATGGGCAACGCGGCAGGCAGCGCGGAGCAGCCCGCGGGCCCCGCCGCGCCGTCCCCCAAGCAGCCCGCGGCGCCCAAGCAGCCGATGCCCGCGGCCCGGGAGCTGGAGGAGAGGTTTAACAGGGTTCTGGTGAGTGTGATCTGTCGCGCTCTGGGCGCGGGCGGGGGGCGGCTGGGGTTCGGCACGCGTCCCCGCCCCCGGGGGCTCAGGTACCGCTTGGAGATCCCCGGCCCAGTGGCTGGCCCCTACAGGGGGTGGGAGTGACAGTGGCTTCTTTCAGAGTGACTTAGCACTCTCCCCCCAAAACTTTCTTCTGCAGTCGCCCAGTCTGCCTCCCCAGGACACCCCCTACCCCAGCGTTCCTGGGTCTAAAGGTCTAAACAGAAATGTCCTGCGAGGAAGTTGGGAGCCTAGCACGCAAGGGGGGTCCTGGGGCGTCCCCTTCCGCTCTGCACGCAGACCCGGCCACCAGGCGAGGGTCGTGGTACATCTGCTTTTTCTTAGGGCCAAAGATGGAAGGGTGACATTTTAATGTCCTGGGGGCTGGAGACCGAGTTCAGGTGTTTGGTCCTGATTTGTTGGTGCCTGGGCTGCTGGGAGCTGAGTCCTCAGATCACACAGAGGAGGTGTCTGTATCTCTCACCCCCTGCATGTCCAGGAGAGATTGCCTGTGGGTCCTTATCTTGGGCATTTCCTCCAGCCCACTGAGGGGATTAAGGGTAGGAAGGGCGGGCGGGGTCAGGATGGGTTGGTCACTCTGGCTTGGGGTGGTACAAAAAGTCTGGAAGCATCCCCCCCCCCTCCCCACCTTCCCCACTATCACCTGCTGGAGGAATTGGGGGGCTTGGAGACTAGGTCACTGGGGAGGAAGCCATCAGCTCTGGCTGAGCCTGGAGACAGTCAGGATGTGTTTGGGGAGGGGCTCCAGAGCAAAATCAGGGCTCCCTAAGACCTGGTGCAAGGCAGAAGTAGGGAGGGGGAAGGGCCACTCATTCTCACTTCCCTCTCCCTGTCTCAGCCCTGTCCCAGGCTCCTTTCTCTAACTAATTGCCTGGTGGCCTGTCTGCTGTCAGCTCCCTTGCTGGACTCTGGGTGACAGGCGAATGAGGCCATGCTGTGCTTTTTCCCAGGGGGCACTTCTCAGTCTAAGCAGGCTGGCACTGCAGGTCTGGGGGAGGGGGGCAGCAAGGGAGGTGCGGGCAACAGAGCAATGCTGGCTTGTGGCAGCACTCAATTCTTTGTCCCCTCCACCTCCTTGACATCATTTCCCCTCCCTTGGCCTGTTATTAGGCCGTACTTACCAGATCCTCTGTATGGCCCTTCATGATAGTTCCTGGAAATCTTGGCTGCCCTCTCCCAGCAGGAAGGCTAAGAGGGGTCCGGGGGAGCTATGGGGTGGGGCGGGGTCTGGTCTATCCTTGCGAAGACACCTTGCTTGATTAGGGGAGAGGGAGGGACTCTGAGGGACACCTCACACCAGGCTAGGCCCTGTTTCCCCCATCTCTCCACCTGCTCTCCCTTCCTCAAACCCATGGCCTGCGCAAAGCTCAGCTGAGCTGAGCAGATGGGGGAGGGGGCAGAATGAAGAGAGACAGTCTCTGGGGGACCATCTGGGGAGCCTGAGTTGGTGGTGGATCCCTGGACCCCTGCCAGCCTTGTGGGGGGGGGGGGGATATGGGTCTCTCTTTCCCCCCAAGTGTGTGTCTGTGGACAGGGGTGGGACAGGCTGTCAGGGTGAGGTGCGGTCTCTATCATACGTGTACACGCTAATGGGGAGGAGCTGTGTGAATAATTCAGACCACTGGGAAATCCAAAAGTCAAATGGTGAGGCTCTGATGCATGTGTAGTTCCTGAGTGCCCTGCTTGTGTTTTGGCCTTCGCTCTGATTGGCTGAGCCTGATGCTAAATGCCATTGGGAGTCCCTGAGTACCAGGGTATGGAGGGCGGAGGCCCAGGGATGGGTCTTAGAGGGTGTCTTCATGGAGAAGGCAGCGGTAGCTGGGTAGAAATCTAGGGCAGCAGCACCCAATGGGGCTCAACTTCCCATCCCGGCTCCCAGGAACCCCAGTGTGTTTATACTTGGCCTTCTTTCTGGGGAAGGGGCAGCCTGTCCCTTGTCTTCTGTGGGCAGAACTCACCCAACTCAAGGTCACTTGGCTAAGAACCTGGCTCCCCTCACTCCCCACCAACAAGGGCATGAGCCCCGCCCTGGGGTGATAGCCTTGGCCGCTGCCTGCAGCTGCCTGGGCCAAGTATTTGGCTAAACCCACAGGCCTGGCAACGGGTCATGCAGGGTGCGCCTCCATCAGAGCACTGCCTCCATGGCCGGAGCTGAGTCTGGTCCTTAGTGAATGTGTAAGAGGAGAAAGAGGCTCAGACTGCCCAGAGTGATGAACCCACCACTCCCAGGGATCCCTGAGTCTTGATGGGAAAAGCATCGCCCTCCCCTTCGGATATAGTCACATAGCCCCAGGGAACCTCTTCCTTTCGCTTAAACAAAACCCTTTGGTCCCTGGTGGACCTGGTGGGTAGGATCCTGCAACCCCAAACCACTCCTTGGCTCTTGGATGCGGGACCCATGTGTGGGTGAAGGGCGCCTCCACCAAGGCTTATGGCCAGATAGGAGATGAAGCTTGCTCTCCCTTTCCCCACAGTGGCCTTTCTCCCATGCAAGGGTGTTGGGGGGCTACTTTTCTAAGGAGGCTGTGAGCAAGAGGTGCCCCTGCTTAAAATGAGGGTGGGGAGAAAGAGCAGGTTGGCCAGGGTTTCTTGCTGCTGCCTTAGCAACAGCGGAGGAGCGATGGCTGCCCAGCGACATGGGCCTGCTGGAATGGTGGGAAAACCAGCTGGCCAGACATCAAGCTCTTGCCTCTCTTAGGCCATGCCCAAGGCTCATGTCTTCCTTGCAGACCTTCCCCTGTAAGGATCAGGGTTTGGGTTGGCAAGGTACTCTTTCCAGGCCGTCCAGAAGTTCTGTGCTTATGGCCAGGCATTGGATACCGCTGATCTGTCTGGTCAGAGGAGCCTGTAACCTTGGGGCCAAGGGACCAAGGGAAGGTGCCCGGGATGTTGTGCTTGAGGCCGAGAGTGATGCTGATCCACACGGAGACTGAACCGTTTGGAGAGGAGTTTGCCTGATGGGGCCTAGCACCCTGGGCTGCCCTTAGCAAGTGCCTAGGGATGTGGACATTTGGTGAGGCTGTGTGGGGAGGTCAGGACAGCCTCCAGCAGCATGTGGACCCTGGGAATCCTGCTTTCAGCAGGACCCCTTCCCTGAGGAGCAGGAGTAGAATCCATTCTGTCTCCATTTTGTTGGCCAGCTCCCTTCTCTGGAGTGAGGCGGATGAAGTTTGGGAACGGGAAGCTACAGGGGGGCTGTACCTTTCATCTCTGGGGTGTCTCACATGGAGGATCCCAATGGGGCTGTGGCCATGTGGGCAGATATCGGGCCGGATAGGGGCTGTGGGGCGACATTCTTAGCAGGCGGGGCTGGCACATGTCGACCCTGGAAACCCAGGGATGTGGTAGGCATGATTCACAGGGACATCTGGGGCCAGTTGGCAAAGAGCTGGGTGAGATGGGCAGGAGCAGATGGGGCTGCCCTGGGGGCTACCTCTGCATTTTTCCTGAGGACATGGAACCCTGGAAGGTGGCTCCGTCCTCCCCGCCTCTGGGAGGGGCCGGGGTTGCTCAAGGGAAGGGCAGAATAGCTTCCTGAGCTTCGGGGTCATTAAGTCAGGGGGTGGGTTTTGTCTTTGCCGCTTCCTACCTGGATGACCTTGAGCAAGTTACTTAACCTCTCTGAACTTCAGTTTTCCCCACGTGTAGAAAGAGAATACCAGTAGTATATGCTGGCCTCCTAGGGTCGTTGAAGGATTGCCGAGAGTGTGCCTGACACAGGGCGGGCGAGTGCTCCAGAAACTCTCCCCTGCTGTGAGGAAGGGAACGACATTGGAGTGGATAGAGTCCTCTTCATATTGGAGGCCTCCTAGGCCCTTCTAGCCTGTGCCTTTCCCCTCTACCCACCTCCGTTACCAAGACCAACCAAGGTTGCCAACTTTAGCCATCACAGGCCAGGCTGCCCTTGGCTGCCATCATGCAGGGCAGCCACAGCAGGGCCTAGACCGAAAACTTGCCTGGTGGCCGGAAACCACGAGAGGGAGGGCCCACCTCTCCTGGAGGGTGGGGCAGTGGTGGTGCTAACGGTAGCTGTGTGCACATGGGGAGGGGGTGGGGAGGCCTCCACTTCCCTCTGAGAGACGGTGTGCTGGGAGGGGGGGGTTCCCCAGTGAGTAAGAGCTCAGTGTGGGCAACAACAGGAAGCGTAGGGTGCTGGGTGGCAGGAAATGGGGCTGGCTGTTCCTGGTTCCTCAGACAGGGGGACTGGGGCCAGTCTGTCTGCAGAAGACCCCTGGGGGTCCCGGACCCACATTTCTCACCACCTTCGGTGCTCTTTCTTCCAAGGAAACACAGTCTTCTTACCAGCTTGCCAGCTAGGTCACCTCAAACAAATGACTTAATCGCTCCGTGCCTCAGTTTCCCATTTGTGAAATGGGGGTCACAATAGCGTTTATTGTGTCAGCTTCTTTTTTGAGGTTTAAATGAGTCAGTAGATATAAAGCACCTAGAATGGCACTTAGCACAGAATGGGATGTTTGGGGAATATTTATCATTGTTATTGTTGCTGTAATTCTACTAGCCTGGATTGTGTGGGCAGTGCCTGCTGTCCTGGCTCCCACCTGGCTTGCCCTTGTCCCTGCCATGGGGACCCTTCAACCCTGACGGGAGTGGCCATGAGCTTTTTGGGACTCTCAGCACCTAATCCTGGGACTAGTCACCCAGAGCCCTCCTCTAAGTCAGGGATTGTCTCTAATAGCCCCAGAAAATCTACCTACTGGAACTTTGAAACGTGGATTGATTGCCTTTGGAGACGCGCTAAGAGCTCTAAGACAAAGGCCAAGACCATGTAGAGGTGGCGGATGGAGACACTTCCTGGCTTCTGGGCCCATCAGGCTGTGGAGCCTCTGTGGGGCTGGTCTGAGACTGGGCTTGGTACCCAAGTTCAAGGGCATTCTGGGACTCAAAGGGCCACACGTCATGAGGAGAGGGTGGGCAGGTGGGTTGGGACAGTCTCAGTTCAAACTGAAAGTGAAACGGGAGGGTGTGGTTGTGTCCAGACGCAGACAGAACCCCTTCAGTCACCAGGGACACCTCTCCAGATGTCAGCGGTGGCGGGAGGGGGGAGGGGCGTTGTTGAAGGAGTACGGCAGAAGCTTGCAAGGGGCTGGTCTTGGGTGAGCGAGGCTGAGGGCCCCTCTGGCACCTGGAGAGGTCGAGGCAGGGAGGGAGAATGATGTCTACACATTCTAGTGGAAAGACTGGGGAATCAGCTCCTTTTCTTGGCCACACCTTCAAAGATGGATCTTACCTGTCTCTTCCTGGAGCCAAAGCATTAAGGGCAGCAAGGAGAGGGGAGCTGAAGGGTCAGTTCATTGTTGGCCAAGCACTAGAGACAGGTCTGTTTTATCTGGATGTTTTCACAAACTTCTGCTCACCACACCATCCCTCTCCTTGGGGTCTTCAATGGATTCCTCCCCCAGCCCCCAGTCTGTGAAACGCCTCTTAACAGCGTGTGTCACTGCAGAGTATTATTACATCAAACCCCAGCTTCTCACTGGGTATTCCTGGGAGCTCTGGGAGCTGGGAGGCAGAAGGGAAGTGCGCCCATTTTATGGAGAAGGAAGCTGAGGCTCAAGGAGACGGAGAAGTTGTTGGGCTAGGTGAGCCCAGGGCCTGGCTCTCCAGGATCGTGTGGGTTCTTCTGCGTCACAGCTTCCTCTCCCCATGTCCCCTTACGGGAGGCAAGTGTCCCTCCTCCCCACCCCTGGACCTCCGTGTCCTTGCCTGTCCCTTTCGAGCGGTGTCAGCCAGCCTCATCTACTTCTCTCCCATGGTGCTGCCTCCTTGCTGAGGGCCCCGGGTCTGGGGTCTATTGCCGTGTTCCAGGACGCCTTCCCTCCACCCCGAGTCAGTGGCACCCTCTGGTTCCTCTCTTGCTCCTTAGGGTACCGTCTCCTCGGTGGGCACAGCCGAGGAACAGCTGCTAATTAGTGCTCAGCGCTGTCAGAGCTATTTCTGATTTCCGAGCCTAAATTTAGCCCGTCTGGCAGGCTGGCACGTAGCCTCGGGGGCTTGAGCACGCCCAGGTGGGGAAGGGGACAAGGGGTGCTGTGCCCTCCACCACTGCCGGGACAGGTGTACCCCACAGCAGAGGCCTTTTCCTCCCCAGTAATAACCATGGGGCTGCCCCCCGTGGGGACTGGGCCAGGGCGCTGCTTCAGAGTCAGCTCTGGGCTCGAAGCCAGCCCCGCTCCCCACTCTCTGGTTTTGTAACCTTGGGCAGGTCACTAAACTAATCTGTACTTGCACCTGTGAGATGGGGATGAGGGTGTGTGGTGGTGAGGACGTCACCCTCGTGGAGGGCTCAGAGCGGTGCCGGGCAGGGTGAGCATCCGGGCAGAGCTGGCGCCCACATTTGTTGGGGTCACTATTTTGACTATGACTGGTCGCTGACTCTAGAAGTGCCACTGGGGCCATTCCGGGAACCAAACAGGTCCCTGGAGTGGGCGAGGGCCTGGAAAGACCCGTGCTGGGAAGCGGCTGTCCCCTGTAAGGCTCAGGTGCTGGGGCTCAGCCGTCGCCGCATTCCTCCTCGTCCCCCTTCCCTGCCACCACCTCCCTTCTCTGGGTTGGCCACTGTTCCGGTTTCTCTGCATTGCCTGCCTTCCTGCTCCCTCCTTCCCCCTCAGCCTTGGCTTTCCTCTGCCCTGCCCCACCCTGGATCTCTGTGATCAGGATCTGGAGAGACCAAGGAGAAAGAAAGGCAGAGAGAGAGAATGGTCACAGGGGCCCTTGCCTCAGCTCCAGGGGCCCTTCCCAGGCAGTGTCTCCTGTAGTGGCGGGGGCTATACTGGCTGTTGGTGGGTTGGGGAAAGGCAGCAGATGAGACAGCAGTGGTTTCCTCAATCCAGGGGCTCGCTTTTGCAATGGGGAGAAGAATGACGTATCCCCATCCCCAGCCGGCCTGGGGGGCCTGGGGGATAGGCAGCTTCACCTCTCAAGTGGGGCCTCAGCCGGAAAGCTTGAGCAATGGGGGCTGAGAGCACCCAGTTTCCTGTTGTCTGGGGCTGACCTAAGGCAGTGATTTTTTTTGGAGGGGTGAGTTCTGGCCAGAGCCCCAGAATGAAGCCCAGCACCCCAGAGAGGAAGCTGGCTGAGGAGACCCGGGTGGGTGTGGCCCTCTCTTTGCTCCAGCTGTGGCCTCCTCTCAGGGCCATGTGACTGAGGACGTGTAGTCTGAGCCACCAGAGCTGGTGACGGGGGCCTTTTGACTCTGGGCTGGGGATTCCTGGGGACTCCCACCTCCCCAGCAGAGATGGGGCTCCTTGAGGGCAAGAACTATCTTTTGGGGCCTGACACATAGTAGACCTTCTTTAAACCTGGGGTTCAGTGAATTGGGGTAAACTGGCATCATCTTCTGGGTCTGTTAGGAAGACATGCCAAGTTCGGGGGGGGCCAGGGAACCCCTAGTGCAGGCAGCACCAGGCAAGACCCTATACTTGCCCTGTGAGGGAGGAGCTTGACAGGCACGTCTGTGACTGGAGGATCGGGCAGAGCAATGCTGACCTTTCTTAGCTCCTGAGGGGAGTCCCAGCCTGGGCCACCGGCACCACAGACCCAGCATGCTGGCTGCTGACTCCAGTTCCTATGTCTGGGTGACCTTCCCCAGGAATCCCCCTGTGCCCTGTAGCCGTGATGCACCTGCTAGGAATTCCCTGCCTGTCTGACCGTAGCTCCCTTGGCCCGTCCCCATGTCCTCCTTCCAGAAGTGATGAGGAGGGAGGGGGCTGGACAGGGCTAAGGAGGAGACCGCTGTTGCCATCCTTGTGAGAGGTTTTCTGCTGTTTGTGAGACACTGGTGCCCTGGGCCAGGACTGCATACAGTCTGGATGGTGTCGGCTGGCACACAGGGGTGGGGCAGAGTCCAAGACTGGCCACACTCGGGGCCGGCTGGAACTGGGTCCCCTGTTAGCTTCCCACTCAAATGGAAGAAGAGTTGACTTTCCCCCTTATTGCACGTGGGGAAGTGAGTCAAAAAATGCCCAAGGTCCCAGGAAGTCAGGCTGAGAACCCACGCTCTCACCGCCGGGGGAGACATGCCAGGGAGGGGGTGTGTGGAAGACGGAGCCCAGGCCCTGGAGCCAGGCCGACTCAGAGTCAAATCCCAGTGTCACTTTCTAGCTTTGGGGCCTAGGGCAAGGTGTTGTATCTTTGGGCCTCGGTTTTCTCATCGGCTAATGCTACTTATCTCCTGGGGTGACAGGGATTCATGCGTATGACAGATCTGCTAGGGAGCTGCCCCTTGGTGGCTTCCCTGAAAATGCCTGTGCTCCCTTGCCCCTTGCATCGGGATCCCAGGCTCAGGGTCATTATCTTGTCCTTCCCCTCTCCAGAACTGCATGAACTTGCCCCCGGACAAGGTGCAGCTGCTGAGCCAGTATGACAATGAGAAGAAGTGGGAGCTCATTTGTGACCAGGTGGGTACCAGGCCCCTTCTGGCCTCAGGATGCCCTGCCCTGGCTGGCTGGGGGGGGAGGGAGGGTGCTGGCAGGAGAGGGGGCACTGCCATGCTGCCCATCGGGCCAAGACTCTGCCCAGAGGCCTGTGTCGCATCTGCAGAGGGTGCTGGTGGTGTCTTCAAGACTCTACAACCACCCTCCCTTGAACATGGGCCTTCCCGGGGACCTTATGAGTCCCTAGCTGGGCTGGGTCTGCCCTATGAAGTGCTGGCAGGGGCTCATCACCTCCTTGCTGTCACCCACCTCCTTGCTGAGCTTTCCGGAGCAGCATCTGTTGACCCTCCAGCTCTGGGCTGTGGAAGATAGGGGGGCAACCCCAGGGTTGGGCATCTTTGACCCCATGGGAGGTGGGGAGGAAGGGGCAGGATCCCTGTCCTTCTTTCCCTTGGGCCCGGAGGAGCTGCAGTCAACCAAACAACAACCCAAAGGTAACCAGTTCCCAAGTGGCTGAGCAAGAAATAGAACTCCTGGCTTCTGGTGCTCAGCCAGGCACCTGGGGTTGCCATCTTCATGGCTCACTGGCTGCCCCTGCCTCTCCAGCTTCCAGGGCCGCTCTCCGGGGTAGCAGGGAAGACCCCTCTCCCACTGCTAAGCCAGGGTGGGGCCTGGCTGCTGCAGTGATTCAGTGAGGGAAGGAGGCTGGGGGTGGGGAGTTGGGGAGCAGGGAGCCTCCCCTGGGAGCCAGGGCTGGGCCTTTGGCTCCTGCTAATGGACCGGAATGGGATGAGCAGGCTGTGCGGGAGTCTGGGGGGTAAAGGCTGGGCCGTGTGGGGAGGATGGGGAGCTGCTTCTAGAGGCTCTCAGGCTGCTGTGGAGGTCTCTGCCACTTGGCCTGGTATCTCAGGCTGGGGGCTCAAGGGCCTGGGAAAAGCGGGAGTCCTAAAGGATCTGGGCTGGGAAGGATGGGAGCTCCTCTGGGTAGGGGGCCTCTGATGTGGCCCCTGCTTCTTTGTGTGAGTGGCTGTTGGAGCCCTGGGTGGGGCAGGGGAGTTAGGAGTTGCTTTGTTGAGCACTGGAGATAAGCACACACAGACACCTACCAGCACAGGTCAATGGGACAGCTGGGGAGGAGCCGTGGGGAAGGGGCCCTCAGAGCGTTCTTCCTCCCTGGACTCCCAGGGAGGGCAGGGCCTGGGAAGGTCCCACCTACTGGCAGGTCTGAGTCCTCCTCCCCACCCCCAGCGTGGTAGGTTGTGCGGCAGAAATGACCCCTCCAAACTCCACTGGTGGGGGTGGAGTGGGGGGGGGGCGCTGTGCTAGGGCTGTGGCTTGTGAGGCCATAGTGAGGAGTGAAGGCTAGGTCTGGGACCGGGGTCTTTTAATGACCTGGTGGGTTGTTTGGTGACATCTTTGGTATTTCAGAGGGGTCCTAAGATAGCCTGGGACCTGGGGTCAGAGCTGAGAATGGGATTCTGGGGCAAGGGCTGGTCATTTGCCCCGGGGTGGCTCTGGCTGGCTCCCTGTACATCCTGTTCCGTCTCCCCAGGAGCGGTTTCAAGTCAAGAACCCTCCCACAGCCTATATCCAGAAGCTGAAGAGCTACCTGGAAACCGGTGGGGTCGGCCGAAAGGTAGCAGCGGACTGGATGTCTAACCTGGGGGTACATGTCTCCCCCTTTTTCTCTGTCCCTTCCCCCCTGCACCTTCCAAGCTCTGGGCAGCTAGAATAACTGTGTGTGTAAACTTTTTGGTGGGCTTGTGTGGGTACGCGTATGAATGCGTGTGCATATTTTTAGGGGACTGGGCGGGCTGAGGGCATGTACTTTTTCCACGTTCCTCTGCATATTCTGCATATGTTTACATCCACTTGTGGGTCCACTTGTGCGTATTTGTGCAGTGTGTGTGTGCGCGCCCCATGTGTCTGTATGCAGATGTATGGGTGTCTTATATCTGTGTACCCAGGGTGCTTGTATGTGGATGAGTATGTGTGTGTGTACAGCCAGGGTATCCATATTTGAATGTGTGCGTACCCTATGGCTGTGTGTGTGTGTGTGTGCGCGTGCGCAAGCATGCCACGTGTCTGTGTGTGGAGGAATGAGCGTGCACCCTGTGGGCCTGTGTATGGGGCTAGGAGTAGCCTGAGAATGCTTATTCTGCTGGGCAGGTTTGTGGGGGTGGTGGGGGAGGCTGAACGTGAAAGGCCAGTGGTAGGGGGAGGGCGGGGGCTGCTGACTTGCTACCTTGGGGCTCAGTGGGCCTGTGGGAAGCCCAGACGTCACCCACCAGACTTTCCTGTCCTTGGCCCCCAGTTTAAGAGGCGAGTTCAGGAGTCCACGCAGGTGCTGCGGGAGCTGGAGATCTCCCTGAGGACAAACCACATTGGGTGAGCGAGGGCTCAGATTTCCTGCTTGGGGGCCAGGGAGAGCTCTGCCTCCAGACAGCCCCTGGGGCTTCCCCTTGCTATTCCCCTGTCCCCCTTGTCCCCCCACCCCTGCGTAGGCTGTGCCTGTAGGCCACTTCTGGGTTGGGTGTCCAGGACAGGTTCCCGGCCTCCTCTCTGGTCATCCCTCGAGGCATGGCTGGGCCATGGGTCCTACCTGAGCCCCCTAGCATCTCCTAGCATCACTGGGTCTTCTGAGGTTGGGCTGGTTGGTGTCTTCCTGGGGACGGGGGAAGCCGCGCTGGAGCCCTGGCTGTGCCTGTTCTGTGCCCACTCTGGGCAGGACCTCCCTCCTGGCTGGAACTCAGGGAGCCCTGTGCCCTGCAGGTGGGTGGAAGAATTCCTCAACGAGGAGAACCGCGGCCTGGATGTGCTCCTCGAGTACCTGGCCTTTGCCCAGTGCTCTGTCACGTAAGCCCCCCTGCTCCAGTCCTCATGCTGCTCCTCAGAGCCCTGATCCCTGCTTCCCTGCACCTCATCCACTCCTTGGGCCACGTCTAAGCAGTGCAGACTGAGTCCACCCTGGGTTCACACAAACCACACCCTGCACGGTGGGCGGTACCCCTTCCTAAGGGCCTGCATGGATATGGAGGGACGCGGCCTGGGGTGGCCAGCTGGGACTTGGGTGGCTTCCTCTTCTGTTCCACCATTCCCTTGTCCCCTAGTCTGCCCAGCACAGTGCTGAGAACACAGCCTCTACCTCCCAGCCTCTAATTTCTCCTGCACATTCATCTGTCCCCTCAGTTTCCCCCACCCCTCTCTTAAGTGCTTCTGCAGTGTTGGCCTCCAGCTCCGCTCTAATCCCTGCAGGTATGACATGGAGAGCACAGACAACGGGGTCCCCAGCTCAGAGAAGAGCAAGCCCCTGGAGCAGTCGGTGGAAGATCTCAGCAAGGGTCCACCCTCGGCCTTGCCTCCTCAGCCCAAGAGTCGCCACCTGACCATCAAGTATGTGCGTCCCATTGCAGGGTGGCAGGGAGAATAGAGAATTCACCCCTGGACTTCTGTACCCGGCCAGCCCTGCCTCTGGCCCTTGGGGGTGGTGGAAGGGACAGCCTGGCATTGGGGATCACAGTAAGGGCCTCAAGCAGGGTTTGGGAGATGGGTGTGTTAAGAAGCCTTCTAGGGATGGGCACTTAGAAACTGGAGTCTGGGTGGTCTGGGATAAGTAGGGTGTTTCTGGGTCAGTGAGACCCTCCCTTGTATCCATCTAACCCCCTCTTCTTTCCTGTGCGGCCTCCAGGTGCCCCCCTTCTCCCCGGTACGTAGCCACCTGGGGGCAGGTGCATGCCTGGTTGGCTCCCTGGGTGGGGTGGGGTGGGGTGTTCAGCTGACACCCCTGAGTTCATCTGCTGTGGATAGGCCACCCCACCTAACATCGGACATCCAGCTGAGAGGCAGGGAGAGGGAAGGAGTCAGCCCTGGAGCCTCATGTGGACTCCTGGCTTCCAATCTTCCCACTTTGGTCTAGGGGACCAACTTCATATTAAGCCTTTCAAACTCTCACAATATGTTTTTTTTGTTTGCTCATTCATTCATTAATTCAACAAATATATTTTTAGCATGTCCTATGGTGGCAGGTACTCAGGAAACAGATCACCCTGCTCTTGGGAGTCCTTGGTCTAGAAGGCGACAGTGTATGACAGGCTATCCTGGAGGTGTGGCTGGGAGCTCTGAGAAGGGAGGTGGCTACTTCCCGGAGCATCAGGAAGGTTTCCTAGAATGATACCACTGGAACTATGTCTCACAGATGGATTCGGGCTTTATAGGCAGTGGTGGGGACAGGGAGGGGCATTCCAGGTGGAAGGAACAGCATGAGCAAAGACTCAGACATATTAGAGCAGTGACGGAAGAAGGGCAAGGTAGCAGACGGAGGGAGGAGGTGGGGCTTCCCAGGGTTATTGGAAATGTGATAGAATTGTCAAGAGGAACTGATGTGGAAGTCATAATTGGTGGATCTGCAGCAATGAAAAAAAAATCACATACTTTTAAGCAAAGAATTATGAAGGACACTGGTACAGCACTTAACTATGTATCAGGCACTGTTCTGAGCTCATTTCCTAGTCCCCAAAACCCTATCAGGAAGGTACTATTATTACCATTCCTATTTTACAAATGAAGAAACTGAGGCACAGGGTGATTAACTAGTCTCGTAAGTGGTGAGCTGGGATTTGGACCAAGACGGTGTGAATTCAGGGTTGACCTTTCAAGATGGAAGATGAGCCCATGAGGCTGTGAGCGCCACCTTGTGGATGTCCAAGCTTTGGCTGTCTTCCCTCTTTGGGCTGTCCACCCGCACAACACAGCAATCTTTTCTGATGCCAAGTTGCTGTTAAGGGTCTTTGCTTTCCTGACCTCCTCCTTACCCCCTGGCAGCATGCCAGGCCCCAGCCTAGGGGCCAAGGAAGCCTTCCTGCCCTCAGCTGACCTCTTTGGTTGGGTGGATGGGAATCAGTGGCCTAATGTTCCAGACGTGCCTTCTGAGTGGTGGTGGGTGGTGGGGGTGGGAGGCTGGGTGTAGGACGCTGACCCCTGCTGCCTCTTCCCTACCCCACCAGGCTGACCCCAGCCCACAGCAGGAAGGCCCTGCGGAATTCTCGCATTGTTAGCCAGAAGGATGATGTCCATGTCTGTATCATGTGCTTGCGTGCCATCATGAACTACCAGGTTGGTCAGTGAGCACGAGGGCACTGGGGGACCCAGGAAGCTGGGCCTGTCCTCACCGGGGGTTGCCTGAGCTGCTGGGGTGCAGGGACCAATGGTCCCCCGACCCTGTTGCCCACTGGAGAACCCTGTGGATGGGGGCTGTTGGGGGTCTTGAGGCTGATCAGGTCTTGAGAGGAAGCCCAGATGTCTGCCCCCTCCTAGTGAGGTCCTCTAGAGTAATCTGGACATGACTGGGGGCATGGATATGTCTCATGTGGGGACCCAGGCACACCCACCAAGGAAGGCTGGACACAGGGCCCTCGGGGAGAGCAGCTCAGGATTACTTTGCTTGGAGGAGTGGCTGGTGAGGCCAGTCCTCCTTTGCTTAGCACGCCTTTGAGGGCTCTCTGTGTCCACAGTGCTGAGTCCTAACACTGGCTTTTGCACAGACAGAGTCATTTACAAAGAGGAGCCAGGCTTTGGCAGCACAGAACAGGCTATGGTTGGATATCAAAAACTTCCTAAGCTTGAGAGCAGTTAGAAACCAGAATGTAATGGCACCGACAGTGCTTGAGGTGCTGGACAGGACAGTGCTGTCAGTTCTGGGGGTCTGCCTGGAGGAGCTAACGTTTTCTCTCTCCCTAGTCTGGCTTCAGCCTTGTCATGACCCACCCAGCCTGTGTCAATGAGATTGCTCTGAGCCTCAACAACAAGAACCCCAGGTGAGGTCCAGGCCCCTAACATTTCTCCACATCTGGATTCTCCTGACACCAGCCCCTTGCCTGCGCTGTTCCCCAGTTCTCAGGACTCCCGTCCAGGCTCCTTCCACTCCTACTCACCTATCAACTCCCCTGCCCTCCCCCAGCCAGGTCCACATCCACCCTTGCTGTGGGGCCTGCCTTCAAGGGATAGACTGCCCCTTCTCTCCCCAGAACCAAGGCTCTGGTGCTGGAGCTGCTGGCGGCTGTGTGCCTGGTGCGAGGAGGACACGACATCATCCTTGCAGCCTTTGACAATTTCAAGGAGGTATGAACCCCCCGCGCCCCCCCCCCCCCCCCCGCCAATGTCTTTGTTCTCTAGCACTGACTGTTGCTAGCAGCTGTGGCTTCTGCTGGGGGCAGCTGGGAGTGCTGGGTGGGCATTCGGGGAACACAGGGTGGGGACGATCTGGGATGGGGAGGCTTTAAAGGGAAGGGAAAGGCCAGGTCATGTTGGGGTGCTGCCTAGGGCAACAGGGACAGCTGAACAGGGGATCTGCTGAACCTTGGACCCTCAGCCTTGCCAGGTCCAAACTGGGCTTGATCCACACACCTCAGAGTTGCATACATACACCTCTCTGATTCTGGCGAAGTAGGTGCAGGACAATATGATGCATAAGGTGGGATATGGTCATTCATTCCTTTAATGAATATTTCCTGAGTGCCTACTATGTGTCAGGCACAGAGTGGGCTCTTGGGGCCCATCCATGAACAAAAGAAACAAAGAAGGCAGGGGAAGACATCATAAACAGTATAATAAATGAGCAAATTACCTAATGTGTTAGAAAATGATAAATGCTCTGAGGAAAAAGTCAGGGATGCTGGAGGGACAGGAGGAATGGGTTGCAGGGTGGTCAGGGGAGCCTCATCGAGATGGTGAAGTTTGAGCAAAGCTGTGAGGGAAGTGAGAGACTTGGTGTGGTGGCAGCCTCGAGTAAGAGCAACCGGGCAGATGGAAGAGCAGGTGCAAAGGCCCTGAGGTGGGAATGTACCAGGACCCCAGTGTGGCCGGAGTAGAGTAAACAGAGAGGGCTGGGGGAAATGGAGAGGGAGGAGAGGTTTTTGAGCAGAAGAGTGACACGGCCTGACTTGGATTTAATGCGGGAGGAACCCGTAGAAGCACAAGGGTGGCAGCTGGAAAAAGGCTTAGGAGGTGTGTCGCTGGGGCCCTAATGACAGCCATTCTCCCCACCCAGGTGTGTGGGGAGCAGCACCGCTTTGAGAAGCTAATGGAATATTTCCAGAAAGAAGACAGCAACATCGACTTCATGGTGAGCTCGGGACACCAGGCTGGGCCCAACCACCCTCAGTGTGAGGGGCAGTCAGGGGCCCTGGGCATCTGGGATCTGGGCTCTGCTGCTGCAAAGTATGAGGATTGAGAGGTTGGTGGGGAGGGGAAGCTGGAAGGAGGGGATGCGGCATGTAGGGGGAAAATACGGGGAGGGACAAAGCTGGGTTAGCAGAGTGAGAAATGGGGAAAAGGAGAGAGACTTGGGAATAAATGGGGGGTGGTGATGGAAGGCACTGAGCTCCCCCACCCAGAGGATCACAGACCGACGTGCTCCTGTTCCCTACTCCCCAGGTGGCCTGCATGCAATTCATCAACATCGTGGTACACTCTGTGGAGAACATGAACTTCCGTGTCTTCCTGCAATACGAGTTCACCCACCTGGGCTTGGACTTGTACTTGGAGGTGAGCCCTACATCCTCCCGCCGCTCTGGGACTCAACCAGTTGCCAACTGCAGAGTATGGCTCTGCGGTTAGCAGCATGGGCATTGAGGTCAGGCAGATCCGGGTTCAAATCCTGACTCTGTCACTTCCAAGCCCATGTGACTTTGGATAGGTCTCTTCTCTCTGAGTCTCAGCTTTGCCACCTGTAAAACAGGAGAGTTATAAAGATGATAATCACTCTACATAGAATGAGGCAGAACGTTTTCTGCCACCTGATAAGCACACAGCCCATGGAGCTATTGTTGCAGTCACCGGTAGGGCTCTAGGTGGCCCTGGGTCTGGCTCTGGGAGGATCAGCCTCAGACAGGCACATAATGGAGAGCACAGAGGTACTGGGCCGCATTGGGATCTGGCTCATGCTGGATGGGTCCAGGTCAAGGAGGAGTTCCTTGCCCCGGGAAGGGTTAGGCAGAGGGGCTTGGTGCTTCCGCGTCCAGCCTGTGCAGAGAAGGCACAGCTTTTCCTGATTCCTTTCAGAGGCTGCTTGGAGAAGTGGGGACTTTGGGATTGGATTTTTATCATTTTTTGTTATTTATTTTGAAAGACAGAGAGAGAGCGCATACACGCACACGTGAGGGCGAGAGCCAGAGAGGGAGAGAGAGAATCCCGTGCTGTCACCTCAGAGCCTGACGACGGGCTGACGATGATCATGAGATCATAACCTGAGCTGAAATGAAGGGCTGGACACTTAACCAACTGAGCCACCCAGGCTCCCCTGGGAGCCAATCCTCTGGGATTGGATTTTTAAAAAGCCAGGATTAACAAAAGGTGCAGAGCAGGCTGGGGTGATATATCCATGCAATGGAATATTATTCAGCCATAAAAAGGAATAAATTACTGATACATGCTACCACACGGATGAACCTTGAAAGCATTATGCTAAGCAAAAGACGCCAAGTCACCAAAGCCCAAATACTGTACGATTCCTTTACATGACTGTCCGGAATGGGTACGTCCACAGAGGCAGAAGATAGATTGGTGGTTGCCAGTTGGGATCGGGAGAGGAGAGAATAGGGACTGACTGCTAACAGGTACAGGGGTTCTTTTGGGGGTGATAGAAATGTTCTGGAATTAGACACCGGTGATGGTTGCACAACCCTGTGAATATACTAGAAGCTATTGAATTATATGCTTTAAAGTAATGAATTTTATGGTATGTGAATTATATCTCAATAAAAAGAAAAAGCAGGCTGGGGCTCAAGCCCCTTCCCCTGGGCTCGAGCGGTGATGGGCAGTTCTGAGAGACCCCTCACACTGGGCCTCACCCTGCTCCTTCTGTCTGGGGGACAGAGGCTTCGGCTCACCGAGAGTGACAAGCTGCAGGTACAGATCCAAGCATACTTGGATAATGTTTTTGATGTGGGTGCGCTGCTGGAGGACACGGAGACCAAGAATGCTGTGCTGGAGCACATGGAGGAGCTGCAGGAGCAGGTGGCCCAGGTGGGAGGTGTTCCTGAACTTGGCCCAGCACATCGTAGGCCCCCAGGGCTTCACAATCGCATCAGGCCCTGGGCCTCAGACCCAAACAGGGGGTGGGCTGGGGGTGGGCCGTGGCTGTCTGCCTGGTTCCAGACTTTGACCTGAATCCACATCTTGGGTGTCTTTCTCAGTGAGCGTTCGCTGGGTTCCTGCGCTGTGGGACCTCTGCAGGAGGCAGGCCCCTCCTCTCCCTGTGCTCAGAGCCCACATCCTGGCTTGGGCGGAACTAGGTGCCTGGGGCCCCTCCTAGCCCAATCTCTTCTCCACTCACCTCCTTCCTCAGTGGTGCCCTGGTTTCTCCTCCTGAAAGAACTTTAGTGCCCTCAGTGCCTCACCTACTTGGGTTCAAGTGCCAGGCTCAGCCCACCCGCCAGCACATCCGGAAGCCTCCCCCAGCCCTTCAGGCAGGCATGCCTGCTGCCGCCCCCTCACCGGCGGTACCAGTGCCCAGTGGCGGGTGGGAGCTCACCATGTGCTGTGCCACAGCTGACAGAAAGGCTTCGGGACGCGGAGAACGAATCCATGGCCAAGATTGCCGAGCTGGAAAAGCAGCTAAGCCAGGCTCGAAAGGAGTTGGAGACCCTGCGGGTGAGGCTGGCGGCGGAGGGGGCCGGGCCGGGGGCAGGCCGGGCTCTCGCGAACTGACCCGTTGGGGCTTCTAGGCTTGACACTTCCCTCTACCCCAATAAGAGGGTGGGGGCTATGTGCCAGGCCTGCTGCTGGGCACTGACCCTTCTCCCGGGATTCACAGGAGCGCTTCAGCGAGTCGACCCCCATGGGTGCCTCTAGGCGTCCTTCCGAGCCTGAGAAAGTGCCTACCCCCGTCCCTGCACGGCCTTCGGCCCTAGAGCTGAAGGTGGAGGAGCTGGAAGAGAAGGGGTTAATCCGTATCCTGCGGGGGCCCGGGGATGCTGTCTCCATCGAGATCCTCCCGGTCGCTGTGGCAACTCCAAGCGGCAGTGACGCTCCGACTCCGACTCCGACTCCTACTCCTACTCCCACTCCGGGAGTGCCCACCGGCTCACTCAGCCCAGGTGCGCAGGAGCTGTAAGCCGGAGTGGGTGGGCATGGGGGAACCAGTGTCTGGAAGGGGGGCCTGGGGACGTCTCGGGCCGGGACAGTTGCAAGAGGTAGGTTTGGGTTGTGGGCGTGGCTCAGGTGGATGCCAGATGGTAGACAGTGGGCCCAGTGCGCATGCGTAGGGAGGGAGGCGATGGCGAGACCACCCAGGCCCAGAACTGGACACCCCTTCCCCTCCATCTTTGGTTCTCTGTTCTCTTTAGGCTCAGATCTCCCACCTGCGGCAGAACCAGAGCCGGTTCCCGGAGCAGCACCCCCACCGCCACCGCCCCCGCCCCCACTGCCCAGCCTCCCCTTCCAGCAGGAAGCCGCGCCTTTGGCGCCCCCTCTGGCCTCACCCCTCCCTGGCAGCTCAGATCCCCCACCTCCACCCCCACCCCCACCCCCGCCGCTGCAGGGAGACTTGCTGCCCCCACCCCCACCGCCACCGCTGCCTTCTGGCACAGATGGGCCGGTACCTCCGCCACCCCCACCGCCTCCTGGAGGTCTCTCTGATGCCCCAGAGATGGGCCCAGGTGAGTGGACCACCCAGGGCTGGGGGTGATATGGAGAGAGGTGCCGTGCCTAGACCTGTGTCCTCCAGGATGCTCTGTCTGGGGGCCTCCTGTTGCCTTCTGCCTGTCCCATCTGGCCACTTTGGGCCATGGGTCCTGCCAACCACCCCACCCTCACCTCCCTATGCTCACCACTCCCTCCCTATCCCAGGAGTAAAGGCCAAGAAACCCATACAGACCAAGTTCAGAATGCCACTCTTAAATTGGGTGGCCCTGAAACCCAGCCAGATCACAGGCACCGTCTTCACTGAGCTCAATGATGAGAAGGTGCTGCAGGTGAGTGTGGCCCTTCTTTGCTCCCAGTGTGGGCACCAGAGGAGGAGGGGGCTTGTGTGGATCATGCTGGATCATCTCCTCCACCCCATTGTACAGATGAGGGCATGGAGGCCCAGGGATGGGTGTTAAGCTAAACTGGTTTAGTATATTGGATAGGCAGTATATCCTGACTCCCCTGGAGGCTTTCCCCTTCCTCCCTGCAGAGGGCACATCCTTCCCCCCAGGTCTGGTCTCTCTCTCTTTCTCTTTTCTTTTGATTTTTGTTTATTTTTGAGAGGGAAGAAGAAGGTGAGTGGGGGAGGGGCCGAGAGAGAGGAAGACAGAAAATCCAAAGCTGGCTCTGCGCTGACAGCAGAGAGCCCAATGTGGGGCTTGAATTCATGAACTGTGAGATCATGACCTGAGTGGAAGTCGGATACTTAACTGACTGAGCTACTCAGGCGCCCCCTTGTGTCCACTCTCCTCTTAAGCTTCTCTCCCACCACTCCCACAGACAACCAGGGCTTCAGGCCTTCTAATTCTACTTTTAGTTTTCCAAAAGTGATGTGTTCTCTTGCCTCCAGGCCATTGCTCATGCTGTTCCTTCTGCCTGGAATGCCCTTCCCTGTCTCCCCCCCCCCCCCCCTTTTTTTTTTTTTTTTTTTAATCCCTGGCCAATTCAGCTCTTCCTTTGGCTGTAATGGCTTGGAGTGTGGATCCCCTGGATTGGGTGCAGCTCTTCCTCCTCAGTGCTGTCTGTACTTCCCCTGTATCCCCCATCAGGGCCTGTGGTCAAGCTGGGTTACTGGGTTATTTTCTCTGTGGGCTGTGTTGTGTGGTCAGGGCTGGTTAGATGGTTCAGCCAGGAATATATCAGACCCCAGCCCACCTAGCCCCAGCTCTTCTCCTTGTGCCCTCAGGAGCTAGACATGAGTGACTTTGAGGAGCAGTTCAAGACTAAGTCCCAAGGTCCCAGCCTAGACCTCAGTGCCCTCAAGGGTAAGGCAGCCCAGAAGGCCCCCAGCAAGGCCACCCTCATCGAGGCCAACCGGGCCAAGAACCTGGCCATCACCTTGCGCAAGGGCAACCTGGGGGCTGATCGCATCTGCCAGGCCATCGAGACGTGAGTACTTCTGCCCTGGGATTGTAGGTAGCCCAGCCCCTCTACTAAACCAGGGTCATCAAGTACCTAGTAAGAGAGTCCCAACTACGGGACAGAGCCCATCAAACTTCATGCTAACCCTGGTCAGGGAGTAAGCTTGGGAACCTTGTTCCCATTTTCAGGCTGAGAAAATAGCCCATGCTGTGAGTCCACGCCCAGACTGAGATGTTCCCATTTCCTCCCTGCCTCCTTGCCCAGCTATGGGAACTCAGGCTCCGGCATTTACAGCTGGGCATCTGCCACTGACCTATGATAGGGACCTCAGGCTTCCCAGCTCCCAACTTCCCTTGACACCTGCCTCTTGGTCCCTGAAGCTGTTGGCAAATAGTGAATACTGAAGTTCATTTATTCAGTCAAGGAAATGGAGGGGGGGACGTAGTCCTGCCTCAAGAACTGGTGGGTATAGAGTGATAACTACCCCGCCTTTCACCAGGTACGACCTACAGGCCCTTGGCCTGGACTTCCTGGAGTTGCTGACCCGCTTTCTGCCCACGGAGTATGAGCGTAGCCTCATTGCCCGCTTTGAGCGGGAGCAGCGACCCATGGAGGAGCTGTCGGAGGAGGATCGCTTCATGCTACGCTTCAGCCGCATCCCGCGCCTGCCGGAGCGCATGGCCACGCTCACCTTCCTGGGCAACTTTCCGGATACTGTGCAGCTGCTCATGCCGGTGTGGGCGGGGCAGGCAGAGCGGTGTGGGCGGGGCGGGGCGGGACTGGCAGAGCGGTGTGGGCGGGGCGGGGCAGGCAGGGCCAGCGGGGGCACTGTGTTCTGGGTTGGGGTTGCGGAGGGGGGCAGCTACTAGCCTCCAGGAGGGCATTTAGGGGTACTTGAGCCTCCCATGGGCTTGCCTGCCACCCTGCCCCAACTTACCTTGCCTCCCCAATCCGCCCCTCCCAGCAACTGAATGCCATAATTGCAGCCTCAATGTCCATCAAGTCCTCTGACAAACTCCGGCAGATCCTGGAGGTGAGAGCCCAGGGCAAGGGTCTGGGAAGCGGGGCCCACCTATGGCTCCTTGCCCGTTCTGGGTCGTGTGAGAGGGAGACCCGGGCCTTGCTCTGTCTGTACCCTTGGGATGCAACAGTTATGTTCTTAGCGCTCGCATACACGGAAAGACAAAACTAAGGCAGGGGTGGCCTAAGGGCGGAGCCCCCTCTGGGGATTACTGTGTGATTAGCATAGTACCCAGGCCTGCCTAGTGGAGTCTCAGGGAACCAGTAGAAAGACCATGATACTACAGCCTAGGCGATGTCAGCAGCACCATTTTGGGTAGGAATGGCAGAGGACAAAATTGGGTATGCCAAGGGGCACCTGGCTGGCTCAGTCCATTGAGCATGCGGCTTTTTTTTTTATTGTTGTTGTTTATTATTTAAGAAATCTCAACACTGAACATGGGGCTCAAACTCACAACTCTGAGATCAAGAGTCACATGCTTCTCTGACAGCCTGTCAGGTGCCCTGAGCATGTGACTCTTGTTCTGGGAGTTGTGGGTTCAAACCCCACATTGGATGTAGAGATTACTTAAAAATAAAGTCTTTAAGGGGCACCTGGGTGGCTCAGGTGGTTAAGTGTCTGACTTTTAGTTTTGGCTCAGGTCATGATCTCATGGTTCATGAGTTCCAGCCCCGCCTCGGGCTCTTCGCTGACAACGCGGAGCCTGCTTGAGATTTGTCTCTCCCTCTCTCTCTCTGCCCCTCCCCGGCTTACTCTCCCCCTCTCTCAATAAATTAAAAAAAAAAAAATCTTAAAAAAAAAAACAACGGTACGCCATGCATTGTGTTAGCCATATGCATATGTCAGACATATGTACAAGCATGTACATGTGTCCTAGACCTGAAGGGGCCATGCAGGAGAGTGGTGGGGGCTGAGTGTGTGGGGCTTGCTTTTCACCACATTTTCTTGTGCAACTTATACTCGGGAGGGTTTCCTCAGCCCCGGCAACCTCCTGAACTCTCCCCCCTGCCTCTCCCAGATTGTCCTGGCCTTTGGTAACTACATGAACAGCAGTAAGCGTGGAGCAGCCTACGGCTTCCGGCTCCAGAGTCTGGATGTGGTGAGGGGCACAAGGAGGGGTTCCCAGGCATGGGGGATGGGGGACAGCTGGTGGCCTGTGGCTTACAACAGGTCTTCATGCAGCTGCTGGAGATGAAGTCGACTGACCGCAAGCAGACGCTGCTGCACTACCTGGTGAAGGTCATTGCTGAGAAGTACCCACAGCTCACAGGCTTCCACAGCGACCTGCACTTCCTGGACAAGGCAGGCTCAGGTATGGGTGCAGGTGCCCTGTCCTCCTTGGGTGGGGGCAGGGGCTCAGCCCTGGGGACTGATACGGGTTGAGAGAAAAAGGACCACAGGGTGTAGTTAGACGGGAATGCTGCCTGATTCCCTGCTTCTGTACTGCTCCCCCTCCCCCACTCAGTGTCCCTGGACAGTGTCCTAGGGGACGTGCGCTCCCTACAGCGAGGCCTAGAGTTGACCCAGAGAGAGTTTGTGCGGCAGGACAACTGCACGGTGCTCAAGGAGTTCCTGAAGACCAACTCCCCCATCATGGATAAGCTGCTGGCAGACAGCAAGACTGCTCAGGTGGGCCAGCGCTGGCCTGGAGGTGGGGAGGCTGTGGGGTTGTAGAAGAAAGGTCTGGAGGGGCATGGCCATAGCAGTGGGGGATGGGGCAGGAAGGCCCACCTGCCTGGAGGGGCAGAGATGAAGTGGCTGGTGTCTTAAAGGGGCACAGAGCCTGTAGGGGTCCGTGCTGGTGGGCCTGACAGGCTGTGCCCACAGGAGGCCTACGAGTCTGTGGTGGAGTACTTTGGAGAGAACCCCAAGACCACATCCCCCTCCATGTTCTTTTCCCTCTTCAGCCGCTTCATCAAGGCCTACAAGGTATGTGTGTCTGGTGGGCAGGCTGCGACCCCTGCAGGGCATTGTAGGGGCTCCTCCACATTGCGGTGGGAAGCAGAGGGGATGCTTCTGTCTGGGGGTGGGCGAGGACCCCCCCCTCATGGACACCTACTTTGGCCCCTCAGAAAGCTGAGCAGGAGGTGGAACAGTGGAAGAAAGAAGCGGCAGCCCAGGAGGCGGGCGCTGACGCCCCAGGCAGAGGGGAAGTCCCAGCATCCAAGGTAGGTAGCTGTGCCTGAGCCTGGCACTTGCTTGCAGCGATCCTCACCTCAGAGATCTGGCCCTCTTCTATACTCTCATTTCTGGGAACAGACCCTGCCCGAGGTGAGCACGGTGCCCCAGTAGCCTGGGGTGGGTGGGAATGGGTTCCTTCCGCTCGAGCCGGTTGTTGGTGCTGCGGACCAACAACACCAGGAAGACACGTGTTCTAGCATTTCGTGGCCTGGGAGAGGGGATCCTGGAGCTGGAGCTATATACCTTCCATTACGCCCCCTGTCCCCCCCCACAGTCACCACCCAAGGCCCGGCGGCAGCAGATGGACCTCATCTCTGAGCTGAAGCGGAAGCAGCAGAAGGAGCCACTTATCTATGAGAGTGACCGCGATGGGGCCATTGAAGATATCATCACAGGTGAGGGTTTGGCTGGGCCTGTCCTGTCCTCTGTCCATCTAATGCTGTCCTCCACCCCCTCTACCCCACCCTAGGGGTCTGGCTGCCTTACTGCCTCTTGCTACTTTTTCTGTCTTTTTTCTTTTTTCCTTTCTCTCCTCCCTCCTGCCTCCCAACCTTCAGTGCTCAAGACGGTGCCTTTCACGGCCCGCACCGGCAAGCGGACATCCAGGCTCCTCTGTGAGGCCAGCCTGGGAGAAGAGATTCCTCTCTAGCCCCCAGGTACCTGGGTAGCCTGGCCTCTGATCCCAGAGGCTGCCCACAACTCTGGGAGGCCTTGGGGGACTGGGTCATGCCGTCCTCCCCTTGGGCCATGCATGGCTGGGATAGGTTTGAGCGGGGTCTGGTAAACATAAACAGGTCCCTTCCTACATGCACACAACCTGGGTCCCTAGAAGGGTGAGGCCTCTGCCCTGGAGCTGTGGTCTTAGCCCCATGCAGACTTCTGAAAGATAAATGTCTCTCCTCTTGGCTGCCAGATCTGCGGAACCAGCCCTACATCCGCACAGACACAGGCCGCAGAAGTGCTCGCCGGCGCCCCCCGGGACCCCCCCTGCAGGTCACCTCGGACCTCTCACTGTAGCTGCTACTTCAGCAGATGGACTCAGTGGGGGATGAGGGGGGCAAGCTGGGGCTCGAGGAAGGTGGTCCTCAGCTCGGCTGGGCCGGGCAGCCCCCTCTGCGGCTGCGTTGGGCCCACCTCAAGTGGTCGGGTGCACGGGGGCGTGGGGCGGGGGGGCAGCATCGCCGGCCCCTCCCCCAAATGCTGCTTGCGGCACCCCTCTTCCCCTAATAGCCATACTTAGCCTCAGCGGGAGCCTGGCCTGTAACTTATAAAGTGCAACCTCGCGCCCCACCCCCAGCTCCAGGAACTCTCCATGGACCTTATTTTTATACAAGATTAATAAAGATATTTGCAAAAGATCCTTGTCCGCTCTGTGCCTGCCCCATCACACGCGGCCTGTTTTTCTCCGCAAACGCTTTACTTGTACACGTTTTTCATAGCAGATTTCTGCAAACAGGCTGGCGAAGGGGAGGAGGGCTGCTTCTGCACTAGAGTTGGGGGCGAGGGAGCCAACTTCGAGGGGCGCACGTGGTCTGCTGGCTGGCCCACGAACTCTGTGGGAGGGCGGAGGGGGCGTGCGGAGGGTCAAGCCGGCAGCTCCCGTTAGAGACTGGATTAGCCTTTCTACCCGCTCAGTCCCATTTCTGCCAGTCCTGCCTCCTACCTGGGTATCCTGCCCCTTTTTCGTAGGCTCCGCCCTACCCTTGGTCACGCCCCCGAGTGATCCCGGATTACTTCTCCGTCTGCCTGGTCCCGGTTTCTTGGGAGTCCAGCTCCCACTCTACTCGTGTCCTCCCCGTGTCGGCACCGCCTCCACTCTGCCTGCCCCGCCCCTATCCACAGCCCCGCCCCGCCCCTCCTCGCCCCGCCCCCTTTATCTGCTCTCACCGGCGCTGAGAGACCCTTGGTTGGGCCCAAGCTTGTGGCTGCTGGGCTGGCAGGACTTGAGAAGTCGGACGTTAGGGCGCGGGGCTCGTTTCTGCCTCCTGTTTTCTGGCGGTGTCTGCCTCGCCAAGTTAGGGATCTGAGAGTAGGGGCTGCGCGCACCTGGACCGGGCAAACCGGTAGGAGAAAAGGAGAGATTCGTCCTGACAGCAGGTCCTGAGTGAGGGTCCCCCCCCCCCCCCCCCCGCGCCTCCAGCGGGTTCCTGCCCGGCCCGGAGCGCACCTGCTTTGTTTAGTCTGTGCAGCGAGAGCTCCAGCTCATTGCTGGAGAGGCCGCTGAGGCGCGCGGCCTGGCAGAAGAAGGTGAGGCCCCCGGGAGCGCCCGCGGAGCCGCTGTGGTCACGCCACCGGTCCTTCCAGCCTGGGTTCGGCCGCAGAGCCCGCTGCTTCTTGGTGTAGTAGCTTGAAGGAGAGAGTGGGGCAGCCTTCTCGGACACCGCCTCCCCCAGTCCTCTCCATCTCATAGGTGGGGAAACCAAAGCAGGACAGGAAGCCACTTGTCTCTGGCCTGGGGCAAGTTGGGACCCAGGAAACTGACTCAGAATTCAGGGCTCCCGTCTCTGCGGCAGGAACTTCAGGGGACCCCTGCATGGGGCAGAGTCTGCCCCTCCCCAATCCTGGGCCCTGAAGTTGGGGACTCTGTGCCTACCTCATCACTTCCTGCACCAACTTGTGGGGGACAAAGCCCTGGCTCATCAGCTTGAACAGAATCTCTAAGAACAGGGTCTGTAGGCCCTGGGGGTCATAGAACCGGCTGTTCCTCGCCTGGCCTGGGAGCAGAGATCATGGGGGAGGGTGAGGAGGAACCTTCCCCCAGGCCAGGCCATTCCCACCCACTGCCCTTGCTCCTTACCCAAGCACTGAGCCAGGCGGTAGCTGTCGGTAAGGACACCCAGGAAGTCTTTGAAGCTTACAGTTCCATCACCTGGGAAGAGAGAGAGGAGGGGGTCCTGGGGGCGCCTCCCCTGCAGAAGGCCTACACCACATATGCTTTAGGGGCTTGCCTGCAGTTCTTTCTGGACATCAAAGACTCTGGTCCCACTTCTAGCCAAACATCAACCCCAGCTGAATAGGGGAGAAAAATAGTCCTTGCCCTGCGGGGAGCCCCAAGTCAGGATGAGTATTAACACAGCAGAAGTGTTTAGGGGCTATGAGATAGATGTGTTGATCAGAGCAGGCTTCCTGGAAGAGGGGATTTAAAATAGGACCAGGCCAGGGATTCTGTGGGCAGAGGAGGCAGCCTCCAGGGCTAGAAGTGGGGGAGGACAAGCGGCCAGGGATGGGGGCACCCACCGTCCAGGTCTGCCTGCCGCAGAGCCTCACACATCTCCTGAGGGCTCAGCTGGATACCCACGTGGCGCAGGGCAGCTCTCATGCTGCGCATGTCCACAGTGCCTGTCGGGCTGGGGCTGAACAGTTTGAAGATCTCCTGGAACGCTGGGGGCCGGGAGGGAGGCCGGCAGCAAGGTGAACCGCACACGCACACGGGGGCCCAGAGATCCACCCACTCCAAGCTCAGAATGGGACTGAATCACTCCAGGCTCGGGTCACTCCAACCCCTGGGGCATTATAGCATTTAAAGAACAGCAGTGGCTGCTGTGTGTAAAGTCCCCATTCAATTCTCATGTCCCAAACTCATGTTCGGATATGCCTGTGTGAAAAAACATTCAAAACTTATGTCAAAGGTCACACCAGCAGTAGGGGCAAGCCTGGGCTTTGGACCCTGGCAGTCTGGCTCTGGAGCTGGGATGCTCTGGGGCTCCAGGGGCCCTGCTGGCACCCGGCATGCAGCGGGCACTGAAAATTATTGATGGTGAGTAAAATGATTCTGCTTTGAGGGATCCTGCCACTATTAGGGCATGACGTTAGAGGGGGCGTTGGGGTCCCCAAATGTAGAAGTGGTTCCTTCTACCCCTAACCCCACTGCCCCAGACCCCAGGGGGGTGGGGAACTCAGGTTAATTTTTTTCCCTTCCTTTCTCCCAATCTCCTTCCTCCCTTCCTCTTTCCATCCTGTCCATCCATCCATCCATCCACCCACCATCCAAATACCTTTTTATCCACCAATCCATTCCTACACACACACACACACACACACACACACACACACCAGTGAGCCCTGGAATTGTAAAGATTAGCCAATTAGACTGGCATTGAAAGACAGTTACAATATGGTCACTAACTTCTCACAGTGACCCCAGCCTCTGGAGGAGGCAACCCCTTGCAGTTAGGCTCCAAGCATTCCCTAATTTTCCACCCCCTGCCCCCCACCCCACCCCACCTCCTGCTCCTAGCTCTGGGGCCCTCACCTGCCACCTGCCGGGGTGTCATGGGTAGCAGGTTCTCGTCTGCACAGCTGCTTCTGCTTCGGGTGGAAGAGGTTGGAAAGGCCTTTACACCTGCTGCAGAGAGATGCCAGGGCCAAGCAGGCCTTGCCCCAGACCCGGCACCCCAGGCCTGGTCTCTAGTCCCTGCCCTTACCTCTGAGACCCAGAACCTGAGCCAGACTGCACCAAACGGGTAGCTGCAAGGCGCTTGCACTCCCTGGCCCTCGGGGAAGCCTGCTCAGCCCCTGTGGCCCTGATGGATGCTGGCTCCACCTGGGTCAGCAGGGCAGTAGGCTGCTGTGGCCTCCCCTTCTGCATCCTGCAGGGCTGCTCCTCTCCTGGGTCTGGTGGGGGCAGTCTTCGAGGCTTCTGTGGAGGCCTTGGAGGCAGGGAGAAGACAGGGCTGAGGGCCCTGCCCACCCGAGTGCTCGGGCGCCAGGGGCCCTGGGACCAGGCCTGTGGGTGCTCAGCTCTACCTCTTTCCAGGACCCGCACACCAGCCTGCTCCCACGGTCCCCTATCTAGAGGATTCTGGGGGCATAGCTTATACTAGCAGACCCTTCGCCAGCCTTGGTCACCTGTACGTTCTCTGTGCCGACGATGGGGCTCTTTTGGTCTTCTGCCGTCTGCTGCCTGAAAGGCAGAGTCACAGGGTCTGAGGCTGGCCCAGTGCCCCAGGCCCGCCGCCCCCAGGCTGGCTTTGGGGTGAACTTTAACATCTTTAGACAGGCGTGCGCTCTCTCCCTCACCACAAACCAGCTTCTCTTTGCTGGGGAACCTGCTGCTTTACTCTTTTGCGTCTCTGCCTGGATTAAGGCATCTGAGTTTGCGACTCCACTCCAGAAGCTAACACAGGCTGGCAGAGGCCCAGGGAGAAGTAGGCCTCAGAGTCCCAAAATCAGGGCATGGGAAGGAGGAGGATAGTCCAAGGTGGGGCTGTGGCCCACCTTAACCCAGGTTCCCCGGAGGGAAGGATCTCTTCCTCCAAACTATGCAAGTTTACAAACCATAGTTTACAGATACTCCAGGAAGATGCAGCCCAACGGTCACGTGACACTTCAGCCAGGCCCCTCCCCAGATACCTCTGCATCTTCTCTTTCTCTCTGTTTCCAGTCTCCTGCCGGCACCCCTTCCCTCCTCTGGCCCTGGCCCATTCCCAACTGTTCACTCCTTCCTAATCGCACCCTCCTAGGCCCTGGGCCCCCCCCCTCCTGGGCCCCCCCCACCCCCCGTCAAGGCAGGGCAGGCTCTTGAGGGCCTGCAAGCCTGGGCTTTCACCTGACAGGAGTCTTGGCATCAGCAGGTCTGGAGTCTGACCAGGGCCCCAGCTATGGCTCCGCCTCTCCCTTCCCTTTCTCCCTGACTGCCCTTTCCACGCCCATGTCCTTCCCCACATTCTGAATTCCCTTCCCTCCTTTGCTGCCATCTCGCCTCTTCCAGACGCTTCCCCACATTGCCTGTCCTCCCCAACGTGGGGAGGCTTGTGCATCTGTGTGCGCGTTTATTGCGTGTGTCTGGCTCACAGGCCTGTGCGTGTATGTGTGCTTGTGCACACGGCATGTGTGGGACTGTCCGTGGGCAGATGTACGGATGTGTGTGCCTGTGTGATGTTAGGGGTCAGCGGATGGGGGTGCGTGTGTGCGTGTGTCTGGACCGCATGGGGAGGTGCGCCATTACGTACGGGCTCTCCCCTACATTTTGAGACACCTCCAGCTCAAGGCTGTGGCCCTGGATGGCCAGTCCTTTGGCTGCTCCTTCCCTTCCTTCGAGCCCCTGGACACCATCCCTTCCCCGAGCAGGAAGAACTCTTTTCAGACTCACCTCCTCACCTGCCCAGCCCACCTCCAGGAGGCTCTCTCCTAAGATGATCCCATCATGCCCCTGCCTCCAGGCCAAGAGGAAGCCCCACATCATGACCTAAGAAGCCTGAAGCCTCAGAGAGGGCACCGAGGCCTCCCTGAGACTGGTCACGAGTCTCTGCTGACCAGCTGAGAGCTCTGGACGGGTGTGAGTGAGGTGAAACAACCCGTGGGGAGTGAGTAGGGGCCAAATAGGGCTGGCAGAGCCCTTGGGGGTGGGTTGGGCAGGTGGGGCTAGGGTAGCTCAAAAAAAGGGGGGGGGGTGGCATCCCTAAAAAATCGAGACCAGGACGCCGCGGCCAGGGGAGCTCACTAGTCCGGGAGCGTTTGCACAAAAAGTCTGAGCCGGGGGCAGCACTGGAGGCTTTACTGGTTTTGTCTAGTCATTTCTCTGGGGAAGAGGGGGACGACACCTTAAAATGGATTTTCAGCAATAATGGACTCCCTTTCCTGGTTCCTGGCAGTGAGCTGCAACGTAAAAGAGAGAGTGTCACTTGGGGCCCAGTGGGAAGGTCTGGGAGAGGGGTGATCCCAGAGGCCTCTGCGAGGAGGGCCCTGGGGGTAAGAGGGCCTCTTCCTGCTGCACGCTGATGGGCAGCTGACCTTCTGTTGTGTCTGTTTGTCACCGGGAAGAAAGGGGTGCTGGAGAACCCTGTTCCCTCACATTCCAGTCCACGGTGTGTCCCGGGCCCAGGGCCATCAGGTTCTCAGCAGGGCAGATGCTAGCCTCAGCATTTCTGACGAGGGTGACCAAACTTCCTAATGCTAGAATGGCCCTTCCCATTTCGAGCCCGGGTCCTTGCCCGAGCCCAGGAGTGCTCACCCTCCATGGTCCCCACGCCTCCTCCAGCCCTGGCCTCGGCACTTCGCCTCAGTCCACCGGAACCCTGTTTCCAGCAGCCTTTATGAGGTCACTGAGATTGCGACGTCACAGGCCACCCCATCCCCTCCCCCGGCCCCTCATTCCACTTTCCCAGCTGTGTGAAGAGTGGGCCCACCCACACGTCCTAGCCCACACCCTGCTCTTTTGGGAAGCTGTGGGCCAGCCTCGCTTACTCTTCCACGGCTCCTTGAGGCGGAGGCGATATGGTCGGTGCCTGGAGAAGCTTCACTTCCCCCTCGATGGTGGCCCTCTTGACCCCCGGCTTGTTGAAGTCAAGGTAAGAGTGGGGGAAGCTCTTGTCTTCCTGCTTCCAAGCTTTCTGTGGCTCCCCTGCTTCAAGTGGTTTCTCTAACCATTCCTTAGCGAGCTCTTCCTTCTCTGGCTGGTCCATGGCCGGTGGCACGGCAGGATCTGTAGAAGGCGCCTCGGCCTTCTGCGGTGGAGCTTTGATCATATGCTCCAATTTGGGCAAGTCCATATTGCTGGAGGAGGCCACGGCCAAGGAAGATGCAAAGTTGATCATCTCTGCCAGGCCAATGGCTGGTGAGGGACTGGGGGAGGCCGGGTGGGGATCCGGTGGCTGCTGGGCGTCTGTGGCCGGAGGAGCTGGCTGGGCGTGGGGGCTCTGGAGCTGCTGCTTGGAGCACGTGGCGTCCTTGAGGTTGGACTGCTGGTCCTGATGGCTGGTGGCCTTACCTGTACTCTTCTTGTCCAGCTGCTTGCCGACCGCCTGCTGCAGGCTGTGTTCGGAAGCCTGGATGAGTTTGTCTGCCCAGAAGAGGTGCTTGGAGGTCTGCACGCGGATGGAGCGATGGTTGGCGGACGCCCTGCCCTCCTCGGCAGCACTCAGGTAGCTGGAATTGGACCTCACGCTCCACTGGCTGATGTCCTGCTGCGGGAAGGGCTGGAGGAACTCTGTCCTATACTCCTGCTGCTCAGGGTCCTTGGGCTTTGGCTCGGGCTCCAGCTCCACTTTTGGCTTAAGGTCCAGGTCCTCTTTCTGCACAGGCTTCAGTTCTAGCAATTCTTTCTCTGGCTGAAACATTTCAAATGAAGCCGGGGAGGCCCCTGGCCCTGAGGTCCTCCCTGGCGCCAATTCCCTGCCCCCCTCTCCTGCCTTCCTCCCTACACTGCCCTACCCCCTCCCTGCTTGCTTCCCCCCCTACACGTGCCACTTTGCAGAGACCTCCCTGGGGCGGGGGAGGCGGGAGGGTGGCTGTGCGTGAGCGTGCCCTGTCCAGGGTCCCAGACTTGTCAGGGATTTGGGGAAGACGGGCCTTAAAGAATCCTGCCCCTTACCTACCGCCTCCCCATAAGAGGTGCCCCGCCCACTGTTACCTCAGTCTCCTCTTTTTCTTGTGCCTGCTGGAACTGGTGTTGGGTTGTGGTGCCCCTACGACGGAAGGAGACACAGTGGATGACAGGCCTCCGTGGGGTGGGCGGGATGGCTTTAGGAGGATGGAGGTCTCTGGGGGCCTCAAGGCCCCCGGCCTCGCCCCCTGGCAAGATGCCCCCGGCACATCACTCCCCTCACTGTCCCTGCATCCACCGGAGAGCTATTTTCAGACATTAGTGGGTTTAGGAAGTGCCTGGAGAGCTTGTCAGGCTGCCCCCTGCCCCAAAGAGGGACCCCAGTCAGTTGGAGGTGAGGCCCAGGAGGCTTCATTTTAACCAAGTGTTCCAGTGAGTCAGTGTGGCCAGTGCCCAGAGGCTGGCTCCCTATAGAAGGAGAAGCTCAAGGACAATGCCCTCCTCCTGGCAGATCTGAAAGGCAGAGGGGTGTGTGTGTGTGTGTGTGTGTGTGTGTGTGTAGGATCCCCTCAGTTCTTGTTGGAAGTTTGCTGCCATCTGGGCCCCTGCCCTCAGTGCTCAACCACAGGGACTCCTTCTTCTTCGGGCATCTGCCCACCCTCACCTCAGGTAGCTCTGTCCTCAGAGCAAGGCAGTGAGAAGGCATCAGTCCCCATCCATGTCCCCCAGTGTGCCCCGCCACCCCTCAGTCCTTCACTAATGTCAGGGGCTGGAGGCAGAAGAAGAAGCGGGGGTGGTAGGACTCCCCCCACGACCTTTTGGCCTGGATACTGCCCCTGGGGAGATTTTGGAAAGAAGCAAGATGGAGGGAGATCCCGGCTTGGGGGGGGGGGGTGTGTAGTATATGAAGACTTGGCGGTGGTGGCAGGGGTAAGGGTTGGTGGTCCCGGAGGGTGGGGGACTGGCTCTCACTGCATCTCCACAATGTCCACTGACTCCTTGCCACAGCAGGGAAATCCATTGGTACCTGGCAGGGAGAAGGAAGTGAGGGCAGGGGAGCTGCAAGCGGGGACAGTCCCAGGGCGGGTGGGGGGGGGGTCTGGAGTCCAGGCAGGTGTCTGCCTCCCTCCCTGTCCCCCATCTCAGCCCGTTCACCCTCCCCTCTCCCGTCCTGCCCCTCGGCTCCCTGCTCTCCCCACCAAGGTCACCAGCCCCGCGCCCCACATTTGCTCCCCTCCACACCCGAATCTGCCTTTCCTGCGGCTCTCCCCGATCCATCACCGTCCTCCACGAGGCTGCCCGGGCATTGTGTGGGGGCACATTCTCTGCTTTATCTCAATTGATTCAACAAAAAATGAGAAGAGGTTCATTGGCCCAGGGTCCCTCAGCTGATAGTTGCTGATGTCAGGAACTGGATGCAGATTTGACTCCAGAAACTCTCAACTCCTCTGTCCTGCATGCTTTCCTACCCAGGAGCCTGTAACTGCGTGGGACCCCCCCCCCGCCCCCACCGAGAACCTTCCTCATCTCCCTCCATTCCTGCCCCTCTGCCCCCTTTTCTCCACTCTCTCTGGCCAGGCTTCAGATCTGCCGCTCACCCTAATCCCGGCCTCTCATACCCTGAAGCCCTTTCTCTCCTCCAGGCTCCTCACTCCATCACATCCTGGGGTCACCCCCCCCCCCACTGCAGGCCGAGGTTCTCACCCTAGGGATTTGATCTGAGGTGATGCTGACACCTATTTGATTTCTGGGTTCCGATCACCTCCTACAGAAGAGGCTGAGCAACGCTTTGGGGAAGGTTCCCCCACCCCAGTCATTTCCCTGGAGGCTCGCATCTTTTATGGAGGAAGCTTGTTTTTCATCCTCTGGGGGGTAAGGGCACCAGGCTCCCATTCTCTGCTCCCCTGGGTAGTAGATGGGGGTTGATGGTGGAGTTGTCATGGCAGCGGGAAAGCTGGGTCCCCCTGAGCCTGGAGTGTGGCAGGAAATGATGACCTTGGCTCTGGCCGAGAAGAATTGCTCCCAAGATTATATCCAAAGGATCAGAATGTGCATGGCTTCTTCCTAAGAGATGTAGAGGTTGGTTCTGTGACTGGGATTTGGGCGCATCCATGTTCCTTCTGGGCCTGGGCATCACTTTGGATCACCTGCGTGGCCGGGCTAGGAGTGTACTGCCACAGAGGGGCTCCCAAGAGCCACCTCAGTGGTCTCTTCCACATCTTGCACCAATTCAACTGCCACGTTCCCTTAGCTTCCTCCCCACGTCTCCGTTTCCAACTCCACCTGACCCCAGTGCTGCTGTTCTCCAGGCCTCTCACCTCAGAACCTTTGAGCGCCCTACAAAATTTCCCTGGACAATCTAATCAACAGCCGCAGCCTAAACCGTTCCATGAACAACTGGGGTGTGGCTAGGAAGCGAAAGTGTTATGGTGTGAACCTCACAGCAGCTCTGGGGGTTGGAAACAAAATTCTGAGGTTGACTCAACTTGGGACCTCTGTGCCCAACTTGGGAATGTTCTATTAGGGATTCAGGTGACATTCTGTAGTATGTGAAATAATTTCAATTTCCAACTGCTGGTTGCTAGTATTTAGAAATGTATACCTTGTAACCACCTGGCTGGCTCGGTCGGTGGAGCATGTGACTCTTGATCTTGGGTCCTTGGTTTAAGCCCCATGATGGGCATAGAGATTACTTTCAATGTGTGTGACACAAGACGGTTTTACTTCTTCCTTCCCAAATTGGATGTGTCTTATTTCCTTTTTCTGCTTTACTGTACTGAGAATGTTCTGTACAATGCTGAATAAAATTGAGAGTGGACACCCTTGCTTTGTTCCTGACCTTGGGGAGAAAGCATTAAGTATTTAAGTATATGTTATACTTAAGTATAATGTTAGCTGTAGCTTTTCTCATAGATGCTCTTTATCAGGTTGAGGAAGCTCCCTTCTATTTCTAGTTCACTTAGTTTTTAATAAGGAAGAGAGGTCAGATTTTGCCTGATGTTTTTTCTGCATTTATTGAGATCATTGTATGGTTTCTCTTTTGTATATCTTTCTTTTCTTTTCTCACTTTCTGTTCCTTCCTTCCTTTTCTTCTCTTTCTTTCTTTCTTTCTTTCTTTCTTGTAATCTCTGCACCCAATGGGGGGCTTGAACTCATGACCCCAAGATCAAGAGTTGCATGCTTTTCTGACTGGGCCAGCCAGGCACTCCTGTTTTTCTTTCATAGTCTGTTAGTATACTATATGTTATAGATAACATGTTATAGCATATGGACAATGTTATATTTTATTCTGTTAATAATTCTTTTATATTCTGTTTATGGTGAAATAAATTATTTTTTTAATGTTAAAATCAACCTTGCATTCCTGAGATAAATTATCATTTTATACATTGTTGAATTTGATTTGCTTACTTAAATTTATTTATTTAAGTAATCTCTACACCCCATGCGGGGCTCAGACTCATGATGTTGAGATCAAGTGTTGCACGTTTTGACTGAGCCAGCCAGGCTCCCCTGCTTTGCTAACTTTTTAAAAGAAATTTCTCATGAGGTTCATGAAATATATTGGTATATAATTTTCTTGTATTGTCTTTTTCAGGTTTTGGTATTAGAATAATGTTGGCCTCATAGAATGAGTTGGGAAGTATTCTGTCTTCAATTTTCTGGAAGAGTCTGTATAAAATTCCTATTCTTTCTTTCTTACATTTGGTAGAATTCACAGGTGAAGCTTGTGAATGTGGGCCTGG